AATTCCTGATTTTCACTAAACATGGTCACTAGGTAGCAGTGTTATGGTTACAATTATAGTTTTGCCACTAGGTGGCAGTGTTCAACTTATTTGATACCAGGATGAGACTCTCAGTCAATAGAAATGGATTCTTTCCAATTTATCGATAAAATTTGACGAAGTTAAAGATTTTGTCGAAACTGGTTCTTCAAATTATGTAGTTAAAATTTCACTTGATTATTATTGGAAAATTAAACTTTTTTTGGACAGCAATTGACTGAAACAACATCTTCTTTGGTCATATGATATAAATAAACCAATCAGGGTACTTATATGGTAATACCATTGGCTAATCATGATGATCTCAAAGCTTGCTGGTCATGTGATATGAATTGACCAATCAGGGTACTGATGTGGTAATATCATTGGCTGACCATGATGACCTCAAAGCTTGCTGGTCATGTGATATGAATTGACCAATCATAGAGCAATCTAATGAAAAAACTTTGTTTTATTTGTAGAATATCTATGCTCCAGAAGATGACCCAAATATGACAGTAGAGGAGTACGAACGAAATGATGAACAGAATGATGAACTGGGAATTAAAGACATGAAAACAGAAAACTATGAGAATAAAGAATAGCCTCTAACTTCTCATCATTTCACTAAATTAATAATATGCTCTTATCCTTCATGAAAACTTCCAACCATACTTTGTTAAACTTGGAGACCTAATTTGAGTATTTTATCATTTTCTCTGGACTTGAAAAGTCAAATTTATTTGAGAGCCAGTTTAATAAATAATGTTAATTAAGTAAATGTATTGAAAAAAAACACCTATATTTAAGATCTTGTATTTATACACAAATGTTTTCTTCCATGATTCTATGGATTTATTTGGAAACATACATGTGATGTTTCCACCTCTAGCCATTCATGTACGCTACTATATACAAATATTTTTTAGTCCCCGTTAGGACGAAGTTCGAAAACGGGGACTATGTTTTGACCTCTGTGTGTCCGTCCGTGCGTGCGTCTGTGCGTGCATCCGGACCTGTATCTTAGAAATCCCTGGACCAATCACAATCAAACTTGACACATACATCATACATGACATCATTCATATGCACGTCAATTTGTTTCACGATCTGATTCAGA